ATTTGTGAGGTTTATATATTAGATTAATATTATTATTTACTCATGGGCGCAGGGGCGGATTGAGGCCGGGAACCGGCTCGGGCTCCCGTGTCGGAGCGGCCCCTTTTACTGACCGCGAAGCCCGGATGGGGGGTCCAGGGGCTCTCCCCCATTAAATTATGAAAAATGAACCCCAAATATGCGATTTGGTGGCATATCTGATTATAATCTCTGTCAAAATTCCTATGAATGTTGCAGCTTTAAATTTGCTGATTTAGCTATTATAATGTAAGATGTGTGAATTATATGATGTTCATCTGAATTTTCCAGCCCTTTTTTTCCCTTGTCAGTGGCATGACAAAAAGCATCTAGTCGTACGAATAGGATAAAAAAAAAAGGCGTATTCGTCGGTTGGTGCAAAAAGGCAGGACGTTAAACTCGATTTCCTTAAACTGTCCAGGTGCGGACAAACAAAAGAACATTTCTCCCGTGTTTGTGACAACACCAATGTACATGAACGATAACGAAAGGTTAATCTGACCTTCGATGACCGAACTACACTAAACAGCATGTTTGAAAGATAATCCTTATCAGAAATGTGTGAGGAGCTAATGGTGTAGGCTATGCACTTTAGATAATAAGGTCTGCCACTGAAACAAATAGCATGGTTTCAATTCCCAGCATGCCCGGGTCCCTTGATTTCTTCCTGCTGTTACAGACCCCTACACGCAAGCAAATTATTGAAATTAAATTGTACCATATGTTAGTCGAGAATAGAACCATAATAGTTAATTTTCCTTAAAATCCCGTATCCATTCCTCTAATCATTAATAAAGATCTTTCACTCCTGGAATATAAAGTCCAACCGTAATAAAACATATCATTAAAGCTATTGTGATTGACCGCCGCATACCGCAAACTCAGGGCTATTCAATACTTACCTATACACTAACAAAACGACGCTAATTTAAAGTGAGAGAGAGAGAAATGGGGTTTAACGTCCACTCGACACAAACTAGGTCATTTCGGGACTAACACATGGTTCAATTTTATTTCAATAATTCGCTTGCGCGTAGGGGTCTTTAGCTGTGGGAGGAAACCGGAGGACCCGGAGAAAACCCACGAGGTTGGACAGGCGACCCTACTCCTTGTCACGTACAACCGGGGATTCGAAACCCCGCCAGTTGACTCAATGACAGACCGTATGATACAGCGCGCGCGTGCTAACCATTCGGCCATCCAACCCCCCCTAATTTAAAGTAGCTAAGTCTCTAACTCAATATCATCATACACGTTGTCATACACGTTGAAAATACGAATTATTTGTCAATTTAAATCAACATTGATGTTGTGATCTTACCAGGAAAAGACAGGCATCTGATATCCAATATTTAAGACAAAATAAACATTTTACCATTGGTACACGAATCGTGTACCATAGTGCGTTTTAGCGTCATTTGCAACAAGTGACCAGAAAGAACGAGGCTAGACATATTCAACTGGAGAACCTGCTCAATAGACTGGAATAACCAGACGCTAGGAGGGTGGGGGGGGGCTGGAGGAACTGTAGTCAATGGTGGGTGGGCTGAATTTTAGGGTAGAGTTCAGATAATTTTGAAAAATTATATTCTGTTTGAGTAATAAAATAGAAATATTGAGCATTTTGTTTTGTATATAGGAACATGAATTTCAAGCTTTATTCAAGGTACAAATCCAAGACATACGGTCACTAATTAAAAGGCTATATGATAAACTTTTAGCCAAAAGTCGATTTTTTAAAATCTAAATTAGAATCTCTCGGTCACCCAATGTAACTTTTGATCTCGTACCCAGCCCCCAGCCCCCACCCCCACCCCCACACTCACACACACACACCCTAAATAGCCGTCCAGTGCTGCGAGAAGGCGGTAAATGGGGTTTAGCCCTCAATCTACATAATGCCTGAAAGTGGTCATTTCGAAACTTACGTTTATTTATTCGCATGCACGAGTCTTTAGCGATAGAGGGAAACTGGAATTTTTGTATATGATGATGATGTAATATTCTCTTTAAATATCTGATATAATATGGTGTTGTTTAGTGTTGATTAAGGTTGTCCAACGATTAACGGAAAAATACAAATATAAATTCTGTCAAAATCGCAGCAAGTCTCAGCTAATAAACTACGGCACTGATGAAAATCATAATTACAACAAACACTGGCAAGTAATAAACTGTTCAAGCCAAAGGGACAAGGTTCAGGATGCAAAAGGCATGGGAATATTTGCTATAATGGCTTTACGTAGCATAAAACCACTAGTTAAATAAAATATAAATGGAAAATACTGAAAATAGTATACACATTACATAATTACATAAAACATTCCAATCTGTTTGACAGAGGTATCATAAAAGTCTTCTAGTATTGTAGCGGGGCTAGCGAATATTCACTGCTGATTAGTGTGAAAACATTCAACTTTGAGACTAGTATAGTTGGGGGGTTGGATGGCCGAATGGTTAGCACGTGCGTGCTGTATCATACGGCCTGTCATTGAGTCACCTGGCGTGGTTTCGAATACCTGGTTGTACGTGACAAGGAGTAAGATCGCCTGTCCAACCTCGTGGGTTTTCTCCGGGTACTCTGATTTCCTCCCACTGCTAAAGACCCATACGCGCAAGCGAATGATTGAAATAAAAAGACCTAGTTTGTGTCGAGTGGACGTTAAACCCCATCTCTCTCTCTCCCCCTCTCTCTCTCTCTCTCTCTCTGGTATAGTTCATAAAGTAATTAAAGGCTTTAAGCAATTTACATTAAAATGTAAACAAATGCTTCCATGCCATGACAAAATGCAACACAGAACTGATGCGATTGACATAGGCGTACGAGCCAGGTGGGCAGGGTGTCCCCCCCCCCCCTAACTTTCGGGCAATCTGACTTTTCGGGCAGACGGGTAAAGTGAAAAAAAAATTATTTCATCTATATAGTTGACAAAAGAAAGTGCCCGAAATCTAATAAAACATTAATTTTACTTTCAATACCATAAATTTGTCCCTACTCGGTAAGCTCTGCTCCTCCGCTCTCGCAGAAGACCGGCACCGCCGTCTGTACCCTGAAATTTTTCGGGCATTGTGGGTTCTTCCCCCCTAACTGTCATCGAGCCCTTACGCCTGTGGCGACTGACAAGCCTAAATGACATACACTATCAAATAAATAATACAAATGATATAAATACCGTGTGTTATGCCCCTCTCTAACATTGGGGCGGTTGGATGGCCGAATGGTTAGCACGTGCGTGCTGTATCACAAAGCCTGTCATTGAGTCAACTGGCGTAGGGTCGCCTGTTCAACTTCGTGGGTTTTCTCCGGGTCCTCCGGTTTCCTCCCACTGCTAAAGACCCCTACGCGCAAGCGAATTGTTGAAATAAAATTAAAAACCATATGTTAGTCCCGAAATGACCTAGTCTGTGTCGAGTGGAGGTTAAACCCCATTTCTCTCTCTCTCTCTCTCTCTCTCTCTCTCTCTCTCTCTCACACATTGGCTGACAAGAACAGGGGGGGGTAGATGGCCGAATAGTTTGCACAAGCGCTGTATCATAAAGCCTGTCATTGAGTCAACTGGCGTGGTTTCGAATCCCCGGTTGCACGTGACAAGGAGTAGGGTCGCCTGTCCAACCTCGTGGGTTTTCTCGGGTCCTCCGGTTTCCTCCCACTGCTAATGGCCCCTACGCGCAAGCGGATTATTGAAACAAAATTAAACCATATGTTAGTTCCGAAATTTGTGTGGAGTGGACGTTAAACCCCATAGTGGAGGTGCCAGGGAAACAATTCCCTCATGGCAAACTGTATATATAGCGTATGCCCGTCTTCGGCATTAGCCTAGATATAGGCTATTAAAGGGTAGTTCTCTTACAGCACGGCCTAAATTTCTGACGTCATCCTTTCTCGCTTGGCATATTAATACGCCATGTCGCGCTGTAAACGACTTTTTTATAGGGTGGCTGCAGAAAAGTTCTTCATGGCCGCCACCCAAGCCTTGCAACATAATTGACAAACGTGTGTACATCTCGAAAGGGACTATGTGTAGGATAAAGCATGAGACTGAGGTTATTCTGGGGAAAGAAAGACTGAAGAAAATAACCCGAGGGTTTTTTCTGAAGTTTTTCTTCCCAGCATAACCGAAGTCGAGGACTTTAACTTGCTTATAAAAAGTCTATGTTTACATGTACGCTTGTCTGCGATATCACCTCGGTGGAAGCGGACGTTAAATAAAGCTATTTCACACACACACACATGTATGCAAGATGAGAATATCCCAGAATTCCCGTAAGAAAAACCTTATATCATGTTTTCTTATGGAAAAAAAACCCTACCCTGGAAGAATAACCCGTTACAGGTTTAAAGAAAAACTTCCAGAAGAATAACCCCAAATCTTCCTGTATATATTCAAAGCCGCCCCTGTCTTTCATACCGCAAGTTATTCTTGGCATAGAATATACCCCAAAGATCAAATAGATTTACTGTTGCAGGTTTTTATAAGTAGGAAAAATGGACACCGCCGCCTTTGTACAGGTCTTTCACAGGTAAGCTTAGAATTTATCAGCAAGCCCTCGTAAATCTCTGCTCTATAGTACTATACACCTCTTTCCACTTTGCCAATCGTCTTTCCTCTCTCACGCTCACGATTTGTTTCCTTGATCTCTCATTACAACATTTTGATCTGTAAATAATGATGTTTCATAGTGGGGTCGCGATCAGAAGATGATTCTGGAATCGGATCGCAGCCAACAAAAGGCTGGGAACCGCTGTAATAGATATTTCGACATTTATTATTTGTTGCACTTACTTTATTTCCATTCGCAGTGTTCATGCTGGTTCCCATTATTGTTCCACCAAATTTTCATTTGAATTGAATTACATATAATTGTTTCCTCCAATAAATTAAAAATGTTTTTGGTATATATTTTTATTACATTGTTTTACTTATAGAATAGTTTTATGATATACATACATTATATACAATAATTATAAAATTCTTCTTCTCTGTTTACATATTATAGCTATTTTGAAAATATTTTCAAGGATTTCAAATTTTTTAGTAATTGCAAGAGTTCTCAAAATTTACTAATTAATTAGCCGTGGATTTTTATTTAAAGATAAATAATTAAATCGTTTATGTCTTAATTATGGGTACGGGATACTTCGTCCTTTAGGTCTATTCGTCCACATTGTCTATTTGTCCCCTAGGGCTATTCATCCCCAGATCGTTAAAAAAAACAATATGATGGCCAAATCCCTCTTCCTGTCTGAAACTGCTATTTTCTGCCAATTTTGAAACCCTTCGGTGCGAGTGGAGGTGGGGATGGGGGCTGCATTCTGTTGAACCCATGTCTAGACTGCTGTGACTGTGAGCTGGCATGTATAGGAAGCTATTTTCTTAATTGCTAACTAGAGAAAGGTCTAAATTTTGTTTATTAAATTTAAAGACAATTATTGCCATGTCTGCAATGCAAACACATTCATTAATTGTGAAGTGGTTGAAGATGTTATGACCATGGACCTTATGTATTATAAAGTCCATGTTATAACTAATTGATGTCTAGTCTACATGGAACTACCATTATTGTTGTCCGGGGACTAATTGGTCTTAGGGATGAAGAGTCATGGGACGAATTGTCTGCGACGAACTGACAATAGAAGCTAGTTCTCCGGGGACGAATAGTCCCAGGGGACTAATAGATCTTGGACGAACTGTCTTTTGGGACGAGTTGTCTGTCAACGAATTGTCTTGGTAAAAATTGTTGGGGGACGAATTGTCCTTAATTAGTTTATTACAACCCTTGGAACGGAACGGATGGACGACATGCACAATATTGTCAATAAACAAAGCTAAGACATTTTTTTGTGAAATTGCCAGATTCAAAATTTAATCTCCAAAATTATATTTTAATAGCAATTCGCGAACATGGCGGTCGACTGGACGAGCCTTGATCCATACTATGTATTGGAAGTTAGGAACGCATTGACGACATAACAATTAAAAAAATTAAATAAATTTTAGCCAGGTACAATTGCCATAATACTACTTTTATCGTATAACTGGTAGAAATGGCGAGCAACAGAGTCAGTGTCCATTGTGATTTAAATTGACCAGTTTTTCTTTAGCTTAAAAATAGTCCGATTTTTTATCCCTGTTTATATAATATATTTCCTCTGCAAGATAAGGTTGTGGTTCTGGGTAATGATAAATCATGCTTATGGCAATACCCAAAGCTGACTGATCTTCACGATGGCATTTATGGTATTTAAATACATCGAATGGACATCTAAGTCTTTGCTCAGTCCCTTCAGGCATAATACAATATCTCTGAAGAGCGCATGTTAACCAGGATCTCATGATGGCGTAGGAATACAGGTTGTTTTTCACAACCAAACCAAATGTCGCGCCTGCTTCTTTTATTTTATGAAACAAACATGGTTTCTCTTGAAAATATTCAAATGTTTTAGGAAATGTGTGATTAACTAGAAAAAATGGTAGATGTTCTACTGAGCGGAAAATGACACCAGTTTCCTTCACAAAATTAAATGTTGGTGTAAATCTTGAACTTCTAATTCGACCCGAAGCATCCATGTACATGACGAAACCATATTGGTTCAGGACTTCCTGTAACAAATAAAATATAGATAAAATATGAACAATAATTATGGGGATTACAACCATTGAGCCTATTGTGTGGGGATTCTACTATATAACAATCTGATTAAAACACAGATCCAATTTCGTTTTGTTTTTATAGTTCAAAATTTAGATTTTACTTGTCTTTACTACACTTGGATCTGGAAGCGTTGTTATTTAACTCGTGTTCTGCTTTAAATGAGGGGTCAGCCAATCAAATGGTCTGTCGAATCGAGCGTTTGACCTTTTTTGCGCGGAACTGTGGGTAGACATTAGCGGCAATAGAAATCAAAACAAAGCAAAAGTAGATAAAATATACATGGCGGTCGCTAATTGGTTAATCGAATGACTGACGTAATCGGGTCAAATGTCGCTTGCTTGGTACCTGACGTCATAGAACGTGAACTCCCACTATAACTTGTTAGATCTACATGCCGAAAGTATAAAAAACAAAACGAAATATAGATCTATATTTTAATTAGATATTTTTTGTGGTTAAAAATATGTGATTCAAGTAAAACAACCAGCATAATATAATTATATTATACAGCATAGTAACGCATTAAAATGGCCTGACGATTCGTTTGATAACGATGAAAGTACTAGCCAAAAATTTAATTTTTAGTGTTTTTTTCTCTAATGTTTGAATTTGACTTTTATGTTTAATTGATCGAGAGATCGTTTTATATTATTTTTTTCTATATAGATCATCATTATATCATACACAATGACATTATTTATGAATAGTCCCAAGACGGACGAAAACTACTTTAAAATGTTTAAAATGTTATTAAACCATGCGTTGAAATGGTTAGCACGTGCGCGCTGCTCTGTATCATACGGTCTGTCATTGAGTCAACTGGCGGGGTTTCGATTCCTCGGTTGTACGTGACAAGGAGTAGGGTCGCTTGTCCAACCCCGTGGGTTTTCTTCGGGTCCTCCGGTTTCCTCCCACTGCTAAAGACCATGTGAACCATGTGTTAGTCCCGAAATGACCTAGTTTGTGTCGAGTGGACGTTAAACTCTCTCTCTCTCTCTCTCTCTCTCTCTGTTTGTGTCGGCATACCTTTTATCTTTCATCGTTTACCGTGAAACAAGGTATCTGTGAATAGTCTAGTTTTATGTGGATTGGGTAGTCATGTGGTATATTCTTGTTTAAAACAAGCAATAACAGCTTTGTGCCAAGATAAGACACATCTGTGTTTACATTGTGTTCTGCTGCCGTATAACCGTGAGACTTGGTCAATATCGGGATGTACGTCCATTTTATACACATTTTACAAAATTTCGGAACAAACATATGGCTTATTTGGCTTGTGTAGGGAGTATTTAGCAGTGGGGGGCAAAAAAGGGAACTAGACAAAACCAACTAGGCTGGCCAGGTGACTATATTCTTTGTCACGCGCAAACTTGGGATTCAAATCAAGCCACTTGATTCAATGCCCGAACTTATGATCTAAAGACAACTCGACCAACGAACCTCCCTTAAAGGGACAATAACACTCTTGCTGACTTGACAGCTCCAGAAAATAAACAAAATAGCCTTATTCTAAGTACTAGATGTGTTAGTGTCCTACCTGTTGTGTAAATTATCCATTAAATCTTATTTTACTTGTCCAAAGGGTTTAAAAATATTGTTAAATCCAAGTCACATTTGTAAAGCTTTACGTCAGGCTTTTCAAATCAATTAGTTGAATTTTTCTAATTTTTTTAAATTAGGTGTGTTAAGATGAAATTTATATCATCAATTAATTGGAATATTGTAAAATAGTAAAAATAGTACATTTTGTTGACCAGAATAAAGATTGTGACATGTTATTCAGTTACAACAAGAGTGGTATCGAGCCTTTGAAGGCGCTCCACCGCAAAATAAAGTGTTTGGACCGATTTCTGAATCAAGAAAATATGTTCGTTAAAACAGTCGGTCATTTTGCTATGTCAAACTTTATTTCATCTGTTTTTCAATTTGTTCCAAAGCAGCAAATTGTCAGTCTTACAGAAACTCTGTTCAAGTAAATAATACAGTTAAAAGTTAACAGTAGAAACGAGATTTGGAGGTGAAAATTTTCAAACTAAATGAATAATTTTATAAATTTCCTCTCGGAATCATCCTATTTAGATATTTAAAAAAATCCTTTTAAATTTTGATTTTCTATTTCTAATCTAGATCACTTTTTGAACCTGATACCTCTCTATAAACGCGCTGACTGCGCATGTAAGTTACTAAGAAATTTACCTGTATTATAATTGGTTTCCAGGCACAAAGATGTAGAACTTTTATATGTTCAGGATATTTGTCAAACTCAAAAGTTCTTAATTCACATTTGCCATACCTTCTCACCTGAAAGCATTTCAAGTGATATTTAATTCAAGACGTTAAACTAAATAATAATTTTATGTACGTGCTTGATTTCTCCATATTTGGAAGCCACAGGGGGTCAATGACTAAAGCGCTGGTTCAACAACCAGGCGGTCCAGGGTTCGAACTAAATAGTAAGTGCAGGAGGACTGCAATACACACAAAACAAAACTGGCAAGATAAACCACATAGACATGGCAAGAAATAAGCAACAAATTATCAAATCAAATGAATGAATCCGGGGCCAGCCGTAAGCGTCCATTGCGCTGTACAGTCTGTAATCATATAGGCTTCACTAAGAATAAAATAAAAAAGATGTAACATATCTTGAATGAAAATCATCTACCGGTTGACGTTAGAACGTCAAAAAAGATTTAACTTACGGCTTGTCGTTCTGTTTCGTTTAATCCTATATCATATATAATAACTTTGATGTCAGGATAAGCTGGCCTTAAAATAGTGTCCAGCGAATACAGCGAGGCCTTCGCTTCATCAAAATGATTAGAAGAGATACCAAATACAATCGCGGGAGTATCAGGAATGGGTATCGTGGGGTCTGGTAAATCGGGTATATAGACGTCACCGGATGTTGTAGTCCTACTCGGGAAACCAAAACGGAAAAGATACTCTTCTACTTCCGGGGTAGTCTTCATCCCCAACAGACGCTTCATGTTACTGAGCTTGGTGGCATTGAAATAAGCCTTACAATTTGTATCAAGGCCGTACACTCGACCTGTATAAATATAACCACATTAATTGTGAAATCCTGTGATCTATAAATATAATGGGGGGTTGGATGGCCGAATGGTTAGCACGTGTCGCTGTATCATAAGGTCTGTCATTGAGTCAACTGGCGTGGTTTCGAATCCCTAGTTTTACGTGACAAGGAGTAGGGTCGCCGGGTCCTCCGATTTCCTCCCACTGCTAAAGACCCCTACGCGCAAGCGAAGTATTGAAATAAAATTGAACCATGTGTTAGTGCCGAAATGACCTAGTGTGTGTCGAGTGGACGTTAAACTCTCTCTCTGTCTCTCTCTCTCTCTCCCTTTTGTGACAAAGTACTCTACAACTTTCACCAACTTGAACGATCATTTAGGTGCATAGAACTTATTGACCTAAGCTGCTTTTGATAATATATATATTATAATGACTTTTCAACTCTGTATACATTTCTGTTAAGGCACGAACTGGCTATGATCTAATTAAACATGTAATTAATCTCATATGTCATTTAAAAACTACATATAATCTGTGTACAAGCTCCACATGACTTCAAAGGAATATGCACTGGTCAGTAAGCATTCCATGACGAGATAAAATAGACAATTGCAAGTATGATCATAAGTCTTATCTATTGTCCGAGGGTATATAACGAGGAATTTGCTGATTGTTAGAGAGACGAGCGGAGAGGAGCAGAGACGCAGACGAGATAAAAGCAGAGACCGACGAATGGACTCGTCCGAGTTCAGCCGCTGCCTTGGCAGAGGGTCGGAATAGTGGATTTAATATTGTTATATGTGTTCCTATTGTATTCTAGTTCCCGATGTAGTTTAGTTCATGTTGTATGTAACTGTTTGATATTCTGTCCCGATGTACATAAATCATATATTTACTAAACTGATCTCTGTTATCACTAAGATAGTTTTACACTTTCTCCAGTATTGGAAATATTTTAAAATGTTATAAATATGTTTATTTTATAAATACAATTAAAATGGTAAAATTTGTCACACAAATTAGGGTAAATTCTATTTGTTATACAACGATGTTCCGCTGACATTAACATGGGGGGGGGGGGGGTATGGATATGAATCAGATTTTAATTTTGAAATCAATATTAACCTACCTCAAGGGGTTTAACGTACACTCGAAACAAACTGGATCATTTCGCGACGAACATATGGTTCTTTTTTTTCTCAATAGTTCGTTTGCACGTAGGGGTCTTTGACAGTGGTAGTAAACCCACGCGATTGGTCAGGCGACCCTGCTTACTGTCACGTGCAAGTATGGGATTGAAACCACACCACATGACTAAATTACAGACCACCTGCATCTCACGCCCCCCCCCCTCCCCAATGTCTCAGATAAAGAGATTGTGTGTTAACGTCCACTCGATATAAACTGGGTCATTTCGGGACCAGCCCATGGTTCAATTGTATTAAAATAATTGGCATGCAGTGGGAGGAAACATGAGGACCCTTACCACTTGTCACGTACAAGCGAGGATCGAAACCACGCCACTTGACTCCATGACAGACCTTATGATCTAAAGCGCACGTTTAGACCATTCTGACACCCAACCTCCCGATTAATTTTAGATTTTATTACTGCTTAATGAAGACTAGAGGAGTTATGTCGAAACGTCGCCCAGTATTCAGCAGTAATTGTATTCCATAGAAATGTATATATTTCACGTTCCATTCCTATGGTATCATTAAAGGGACAATAACACTCTTGCTGGCTTGAAAGCTCCAGAAAATAAATAATATCTCTATCTAAGTACTAGATGTTTAAGTGTCCTACCTGTTGTGTAAATTATCCATTACATCCTATTTTACTTGTCCAGTGGTTCGAAAATATTTTTAAATCGAAGTTTCATTTGAAATGGTTTACGTTAGACGTTTCAAACCATTATGTTGAATTTTTCAAAATTTTTAAATAAGGTGTGTTAAGATGAAATTTGTATCATCAATTAATTGAAATATTCTAAAAAAAGTACAATTTGTTGACCAGAATAAAGATTGGGACATATTATTCAGTTACAACAAGAGTGGTATTGAGCCTTTAAAACAGTTCATATTAATTCTATAACAATTTTCTCATAAATATCCATTCTATGACCTAACATTTTTCTAAAGATATCAATTCGATCAAGTGACACTGAACTAGAGCTGACACGTGGCAATGACGACTTACCTTCTTCTTTAACGTCACGTGATGATTTTATATTGACATGAATGAAACTTGGAATCTGTAATAATAATAATAATAATAATAATGCCCAAGCATTAGAAATCATTGCTGACATTAATCATTACAGTCCGATAAGCTATATTTAACGGAGCTAAGCCTCCAAATAAATATTAACCTTAATATTCAAAATTTAAAAAATAACCGAATTTAAGGGGCATTATATGGGAGATTAGATAAAGAGCTGGCAGTTCTCGCTATAATAGCTAAACACTAGATAATGTAAAGGGCATTTGATAAAAAAAATTCAGTCAAATTGATCCATTCTCAATCGAGAATTTAGCGATTGAATTTTGGTCCTGCATCGATCATCATTACGGAAGTCGGTACGATAAAAAACATAGTCTCGATTATCAAGCTTTTGATTTAATCATGAATGAGCGTTGAGCAGCAGATCGGATCCTAATCCAGTAAATATCGCAGACTATGGTTGACATGGGGAGTTGATTATGGTCTGGATAATTTAATTAATGTCTAATTAATAATTTAGAAAACATTTCAGGCCTAAAGAAAGACCTGCAATAGGCAGACTTAGCTCTTGCATAATGTATGTTTAAATTTAATATTGGTCCATGCAATCTCATTGTCAAAATATGGGATCCTAATATGCAATATTTAAGACACCATGGACATCTTAAAATAAGTACATTACGTCAGGTGTAATGAATAAAGAAAATATTGCGGAAGTAATTAAAATGTTTGAATCACATTCGACAAAATAATCAGACTTTTAAAAATGTGTAGAATGGACTCAGCAGGCGCAAGCTCCTGTCGTACAATTTGGACTGTTCATTTCCCCGAACATAATTGGCTCGAAATTTCACTAAAACATATACCCGACACAAACTAGGTTCAATCTTATATTGAGTCTTTAACCGTTGAAAGACCCGGAGAGAACATACAAGGTTTATATTCAAAAATGAAATTTAAAAAATGGTCCCTTGTCAAGTAGTACTGCCCCTTTAATAATAACTACAGGAGGACGACATCACACATAAACAAGGTTTATTCCCACGAAGGCGCAGTTATTGACCGTAAAAGATTAAACGGTTACATCTCACTGTGCCCACTTTTGATTAATCCAATTAAGGTCTAATTAGGATTAGTATATTAAGCGGATTAGGATTAGGTGTTATAGGTAATTAGATGGAAAAAAACAAATATTGAAAGTGACTAAATATTCAGTCTTATAATTGGTGAGATGAACTCACTGTAATCGTTAAAGTGATGAATTTTATTCAAAAAATGACACTTGAATATAATATGAATTATGTTCAGTAAGCCTACACATTACACGGTCTTTATAAGGACACACAGAAGTCAGTCTGTCATATTTCATCATGGCAAACGTTCAAGTAAACATCCAGTACATCCCCAATGCTCAAGGTGGAGAAAACTTAGTCCATGAAGAATACAAATTCCGAGTGAAGAATCGAAAATTGTTATATTTTCATTAAATTATAAAGTGCTAATGTGATGTATGATATATCCATGTATGTTATATTTTTATTAAATATTTTATATATAAAACATCGAAAATTGTTATATTTTCATTAAATTATAAAGTGCTAATGTGATGTATGATATATCCATGTATGTTATATTTTTATTAAATATATATAAAACATCTAATTACCTATAACACCTAATCCTAATCCGCTTAATCCACTAAGCACAGTGAGGACACATCGATTAAACTAGGTCGTTTTCGACGACTTTTGGGGAATCCAGCACCTAGAGATTAAAATGGATTAAAAACGAAACAATGGTGTTATAGATGGTTATGATAAGAATTTACACTTTCATAATCCCCAATGTAACTAATTAACCAACATTTTAGCATCATTTTTGGCATAAGAAATGAAAACATAACTACACTATAACAAAAATTTCGCCAAATAAGACACCTTGTCTAAATACTCGACTAAAGTCAATTCCTCTTCCTCGTGTCTTCCTTTTAATTCCTTGAGCTGGATTTGGATTTGAGCATATTTATATCTCTTCCTTGGTGGTTAATATTTCTTGTTGTAAAAATGTGACTTTAACACCGTTAATTGGGTCCTAAAAGCAACATGCCTCTCTTCAAACGAAAGCCGACAAGTCGATACCTGCACCTTCACGGGAAGGATTAATTTTGGTCACGCTCTGTAACTGCGCCTTCGTGGGAATACACCATAAACAATTACACAAGTCAAACTTACGAATATGACAAAATATATACAGATTTATTAGATTGGGGGCCAACCGTTAGCGGCCACAATGCTGTACAACCTCGAGCTCCACTCAAAATGACAGCAAACTAACAATATCCAAGCAAAAAACGGCGTATATTTCCCAAATGTGGGAATATGCGTACCTTAAGTTATGATCGACTTACAAGAAATTATATCTCAGCACATTGAAGAAAAATAACTCCTATGTAAAATAAAAATTAAAATTAAAAAATGTGTAAGTAAGATGTTTTAACAGTCGAATTCAATTCCTACATTTGTATTTTATTTGGTTTATTTTATGTTTGTATTTAATTTATATACTTTAGCCGTTTGGACACTTAAACATACATTATGCAAGAGCTAAATCTGCCTATTGCCGGTCTTTCTTTAGGCCTGAAATGTTTACTAAATTATTAATTAGACATTAATTAACTTATCCAAGCCATAATCAACTCTCGATGGCATCGGATTTCTCCGATATTAAATAGATTAGAACAGTTCAGCCATATTTTGATTTAAGCTAAAAATGGAGGAGCGAGACTTAGCTTCGAACAACCAGTACGGTGGTTGAAATTATTGCACACGTCGTGTCAAACCTTCAAAGGCTAATATCTTCGCTCGCAATAGAGTAATTTGAATGAAATTTTCAAATTATTCATTTTACATCATATATTTTCGAACTATTATAGTAAGAATGGCTAGCTCTTTATCTAAATCTTACATAATGTATCTTTGATCGTTGAAGTTGTGCGCTACAAAAATGTAAAAGAATAAAAAAAATAATAATATTAAAATGGGTTTTATCCACACCGTGTTACTCTGACAAAAAATAAAACCCTCTCTCATTCATTCATTCATTCATTCGTCCCATTAGTAAAGTAAATCTAATATATCCAGACGACCCTAGTATACGCGCACAAAATGTTGCTCTCAGTTTATTTTAGTTTCGCAGATTTTCCATTAGTCACTATTTAGTTTTTTTGGGAAATTAAAAGACATTTTGAAAATTACATTTGATCATAACCGGTCTTTCTTTAGGCCTGAAATGTTTACTAAATTATTAATTAGACATTAATTAACTTATCCAAGCCATAATCAACTCTCGATGGCATCGGATTTCTCCGATATTAAATAGATTAGAACAGTTCAGCCATATTTTGATTTAAGCTAAAAATGGAGGAGCGAGACTTAGCTTCGAACAACCAGTACGGTGGTTGAAATTATTGCACACGTCTTGTCAAACCTTCAAAGGCTAATATCTTCGCTCGCAATAGAGTAATTTGAATGAAATTTTCAAATTATTCATTTTACATCATATATTTTCGAACTATTATAGTAAGAATGGCTAGTTCTTTATCTAAATCTTACATAATGTATCTTTGATCGTTGAAGTTGTGCGCTACAAAAATGTAAAAGAATAAAAAAAATAATAATATTAAAATGGGTTTTATCCACACCGTGTTACTCTGACAAAAAATAAAACCCTCTCTCATTCATTCATTCATTCGTCCCATTAGTAAAGTGTTAATATTTATAAATCTAATATATCCAGACGACCCTATGTATACGCGCACAAAATGTTGCTCTCAGTTTATTTTAGTTTCGCAGATTTTCCATTAGTCACTATTTAGTTTTTTGGGGAAATTAAAAGACATTTTGAAAATTACATTTGATCATAACCGGTGGTCAAGTACACACGAGAGTGGACGATGAAAGTCATGCATGAATGAATAAAAAGGGGTACTTGGTGTTCATGAAAGTTGTGTTAAGCGAAAAATAAACCCAACACATATAACAAAAAAGAAACAAATAGATCAGTAACTTACGTGAAATCTTGTCGGCATAGTCATAATAATAACCAGACAGACACAGGCGATAAACACAAGTCTGTGTTTGGCATCCTTCTTCAATTTCATAGTTTATGTAACACAAAGGTTCTTGTATGGAAATGTGGAACAGTAGAGATTTGAGTGACGAGAACAAGCTGATCAAAGTTTTATATTAAACATTGATATGTGATTGATTTCAACATCAGCTGTTGGCACAAGAACACGTAATGGTTATTGAAAGGAAACCCATTTTATTGCATACACCATGCTTTGCTGAGACGGATTATAAAGATTTACACTATATATTCCTATAATCCCTGGCGACTTGTTCTATATCGGTCATATATACAGTAATAAAGAAGCGTTACCAAGAAGTGACATTTAGTACTGATTATTTGTCGCGGTTTCTTGGCTTCGCCTTCGCACATATAGTTATGGCGAAAAGGGAAGAATGAGTTCTTATCGGCTTCCACACATTTCATTGTAATTCAGTTACATTCATGGATAAATGAAATGAAATGGGGTTTAACGTCCTACTATTCTGCTCCGACTGCGCTAATGAAGATGGGCATACACCATACAGTGTGCTATGAGGGAAATTGTGCCCTACTCTTATAATTCCAACTGCCAAGACATCTTTTACGTGCATGCCAATAATATATACGCGGGACCTCCTTTTTCGTTCCACCCGAATGACTATACATCTGTCCTTGTCAGGCCCTCCGACAATCCCGATGAATTTTCTCGGCCAATGCAGGGATCGAACACCCGACCTCCAGACTAGCGAGCCTTTCTTTCATAAGGTCTGTCATTCAGTGATTGAGTCAAGTGGCGTTGTTTCGATTCCCCGATTGTACGTTACAAGGAATAGGGTCGCCTGTCCATCCTCGTGGGATTTCTCCGGTTTCCTCCCACTCCTTAACACCACTACGAGCCAGCCAATTATTGAAATAAAATTGAACCATATGGACGTACCCTCACCCCCCCTCTCTCTCTCTCATTTTTGAAATTATTTTGGATAACTAATAACACCGAAGGCCTGCTTTATTTGAAACTTGTTTATACAGTTTTCAGACAGTTGAAGTTATGTTTTTTACAAATCACATAATGTTACAGCTATATACGGAATAAATAAATCAATGTTATATTATCAACTTAGTCACAGCGGTTTGCACAATATCACAATAGCTACAGCGAAATACAATAACTTTATATATACGTACGATGATCATTTTTTTAGCTGAAAAACTCACGGTAAACTAAAGAAAAGCTACAAGCATAATGGAAAAACAAAAAGTAAATTAGAAAGGTTTGGACTAAGATGTGAAATGGGCAAAAGCCGGAAAGCGGGAAGTTCCAGCAACCTTGAGATTGACCGAACCTTAAACTTTGCAACTAGACATTTCAGTTGGAAAGCGCGCGACTTGGTATTCGCGAAGATATTTTTCTATCGAGGGAGCTGAGAGGTCTCCAACGTGATCAGGAACCAATCGAAATTAGAACCGAAAATGTAGGGTATTACGTGAAGGCCTTGATAAGATGTCCGAAGTTAAAGCGAGATCAAGCCTTCTGTTGAAGATGAGATTCATGCTGACCCATATCTCGATAACTATCACGAAATTAGGATTAACGTCTTACTGGGCTAACGCCATACAGTTTGCCCGACAGACAAATTCCAACTATCAAGGGTTCCTATACGTACACAAGAACTTGTGTTTTTTGTCCCATCTAAACGACTAGACGCTGCCCTTGCCAGCTCCTCCGCCCTCTATCACTGACAAGTGGGGAACCACGCGTGATAATCCACAGAAATTTTCTCGGCCAACAATGGGATCGAACCCTGGACCGCCTGGTTAGTGAGCCAGCGCCTTAAGCACTGATATATCGCGGCTTCCCTAAAGAATCTCAAAGATAAGAATTGTGGGAGGAAATAGATTTTAAAAATTGGCTTCCGGTTTAAAAATGGTTGCACTTCTAATGAGTTTTAACTTGATGAGATTAATCTAAAAAATCTGATAAATGACTACTATCGACAAATAGTATTAAATATTCATAATAACACAACTTTATGAATGTATTACTTTTTGCTTTATTACATTCAACATTTCAATAATCTCACAGTTATCTTTATCAAGCAATCTATATAAATAAAATCAAAGTGTGGTATATATGTGTGTATGTCGTCGCGCTCCACCGCACATGTGGTATCAAATTAACCGTGATTGTTTTAAGCTATCGAATTTGGACCCTGGACGAATTTGGGCCCCGAACCCCGGGCGAATTTGGTCCCCGGACGAATTTAGGCCCGGGGCGAACATACATCCATACGGCGAATTTGGGCCCCGGGGATGCCGGGTATCCTGCTGGTGATCAATAATGCCTTCTTCTTGTTCTATTAGTGATATTGCAGACAAGTTGTCTTATTTTATTATGTTTGCGCACGCGCAGGGATCGATACCGCGACTGCAAGCCAGAGGTGACCGACCAACTAGAGCCCGAAGCGCGACACTCCAGACCACTAGGCCACCCCACCCCCTGATCAATATTGATTACTGCCAACGTTTATAGTACATTCATGAGTAAAACAATATATAGCAATCAAAACATCAAATTAATTAGGATATAATATAACAACTATCACTTCACTATCTCTCATACAGATTGAACAGGGACCGAAGCCACCACCATTAACCCCATTATACTCATACAATCAATACAACTTACTACAAAATTAACTAGTCTAAATCTTTTTGAATAATTCGGTAATCTTAAATAATCTAAATAGCAGTTACCACAAAAAATTAGGATGAAACCACCACCACTGCCCTTCCTTATTGTCATAAACTCCAAATAAAATTAACTCAATCATAATCACATGCATAACTCATTAAACACCACCGCCATTAACTGCATTATGATATCAACCCATTTCATGCATTAGATATAGCTCGGTCATTGTCTCTTTGTTCATTTCAATTTAGGCCTATGTGTCTGGATTTCTAAGGCTTCGTACTCTTTTCTTCCATGCTTGAATATTTCTAGTCAGACCATTGGGATTATCTCGATCTATATGGTGGGTAGGCTTTCCAATAATGTGATCTAAGTTCACAAAGTATTCTCAGACTTAGGTTAAGAATTTACTTAAAATTGTTTCCTTATTTTAACTAAAATATAGCCCCTTATAACACTTTTGTTGTTTTAATGTATCAAACACATCAATAAGAAACTATGTGCAAAGTTTTGTGTTTCTGGATCAAAGATATTTCTCATAAACATTGATTGAATGGTGAATAAATTATTACTTAAGTCTGAGAATGCTTTGTATGTTCGGGACCTGCTACGGCGGATTTGTTGGCCTAGTTGCTGCTTTGTGTTCTTTAACTCTCACTGATAACGGGCGGCATGTTTCCCCTATATACGTGGATTTAACACTACATTGAATTTGGTACACTGTACCTTTAGCGTCAACATAATTTGGTGTTTTAGTTTTCCAATTTGTGTTGATCAGTGATTTTAATGATACTCCTCCACTAAAGGATACAATAATCCGAAGCTGTATAAGCAAAATAATCAGCAAAATACAAGGTAAAAAATCCATTTTATATATTTTACAGCTAGCGGTACATCATCATAGTACTAACAGTATTAATATTTTACAGCTAGCGGTACATCATCATGGTACTAACGGTATTAACTATATTTTACAGCTAGCGGTACATCACCATGGTATTAACTATTAACGGTATTAACTATATTTTATAGCTAGAGGTACATCATCATGGTACTAACGGTATTAACTATATTTTATATATTTTACAGCGAGCGGTACATCATCATGGTACTAACGGTATTAGCATCTTTATAAATCTTTCATATTGGTAAGTGGTTTTTTTTTCGAATAACATGCAATCACATCTATAAAAGAAATGACGACTTCACTTTTATTAAAAAGTCACACAAAAGTGTAAAGCGTGACAATGGTAGAAACTATTTTTTGATATCTATACAAATACATGATGGTATACTGTTTGTTGATTGATGCACAAAATCAAAGTCTTAAAGGCCGAATAGCTCTATTTTAACCATAACATGATCCATTCTACACCTTTCTTTTTAATTAGTATTTTGTCGTTTGAGAATTAGCCATGTTTAATTAATTCGCATTGTCTACTGATTTCAAAGATACGTTATGTAAGATTTAGATAAAGAGCTGGTCGTTCTTGCTGTCGACTCAATGACAGACTTTATGATACAGCGCGCGCACGCTAACCATTCAGCCATCCAACCCCCTTTTTAATTTCGAATATTATGGATAATATTGAGTTAGAGGTCTATCTCCTTTAATCAATTATCGAACAAGTCGCATTTGAATAAAACACTTGCACGAAAGGCTAAAATATAGTTTTGGTCAAAATAACGTCTCTTCCATGGACAACAAAATTATTTAATTTAGTTGGTATTGATGTAGGTTCAAGTGCATCATTAGGAACCAAATGGTGAAAATTTTATGAAAATTGAATGGGAATTGACTCTAATATGAGCAAAAAAACAAACAAATGTAATGGCTTGTTAATTGTTTTATAGTGTTCCTAATTGTGTTGTCTATGGTCACATTTATTTTCCTGGAAAGCACCTGTCTTAGGGTATGTTAGTTTGATATCTATATTTATATCTTTGTCATAACAGATTAAGTATTGTTTAATGGTCGAGAGCGAGACATTAAGTAATATATTGTAACAACATGAGGGCCGTGAGGCCCGAATGTTTTTACAATATATTACGCAATGTTTTAAGCTCGAGACCATTAAATAACTTAAAATACAGACACTTGCACGTGCTTTGCAATGAAATACGTCACTCGAGTTCAATATTTTACCAAGTTACGCTTGGCACATTGCCCGTACAATTATTTGAAATAATGGTACTCCAACATCAAAGGACGACGTCACATCTGTATTTTAAATGTAAATAGATAGTCTTGAGATTTTAATACATATAATATAGTACTTATATTATAACTTGCCTCCTGATTTATTTGTAATTAATAGAATATATACATCATTTAATAATTCACTTGTGTAATAAATCATTTTGTATCTTTTCAGTGGTTTTTTTTTTGTTGTTCTGTAAATATTATATTGTCCTGTAATAAACTGTTGTTAACTGGTCTCAACTGTTATGTGCAACCCCGATCTGGAGTCGATCATGCGATCCTCCTGCTACACAAACATGGTGAACATTTTATGATAATAGAAAAACAATTGACTATATGAGCCAACCCCCCCCCCCCCCACTAGAAACTTGAAAAATTACTAGTAGAAAAATGGCTATTCCTCTTTCTAGAATGAAATTACGCGAAATTACATGGGGTCGTTTCCGAATTGCTCAACTCGGCTCAACATTTACCTTATATATAAAAAGTTTAGTCTAATAAAACTTATAGACGATTTTTTTCTGTTAATTTAGAACCTATACACGGAGAACGATGTCTGCTTTGGCAACTCTTGGGAGCCGCGGTGGCTCAGTGGGTAAGATCTGGATCACTATCTTGCTGGAATTCCCGTGCATCGCCTATTGTCTTGTGTGGTGGTATTTTAGTCCTCTCTTCACGGCAACAATTTAGCTTCTTAATTCTATCACAAATCTAAAGATAAATTAATAAAAAAAATATCAGTGGTCTCCGTCCATTATTTAAAAATAATTATAGATTTACCCTTTTGTGCGACGGTAATTCAGTCCCCTCCTTTAGCTATTTTATTCAGTCTGAAAACTAAAGAAAAGATAATAAAATAATATTGACGTTTTCTCTGTTTCATGATACTTCAAGGGGATTTGTTGTCTCCATCCATTATTTAAAAATAATTAAATATTTTCTGTCTTGTGCGGTGGTAATTCGGTCCTCTTCTTCCGGTAACAATTTAGCTTAATAATATTGTCTGAAAACTAAAGATAAAAATGATAAAATATTTCGGGGGTTTGTCCTTTTCACGATATCTCAAAGTAATCTGTGGTCTCCATCCATTATTTAAAAAAAAAATATACAGATTTACTTCCCTTGTAAACGTTTTTAGTTTTCGAGACTCATAAAACTGTGCGGCATCAACAATGTGTGTTGATATTTTTCTCATTCTGTAAGATAATTTTTATTTGTCTGCGGCATTTCGAGCGACCAAATTAAAAAGACTTCTATGGTCCACGAGGATCAACCGTGAAAAAATGTAATCAATGTTTATAAAGAAAAAACCTTTCACTTTCAGATTCGCGTAGAGGTGTTTTCTAAAATTAGAAACTGAAAGTAGACCTCCTACTTTTTCTTAGTATTGATTATGTCCTGTACATATGGTACAAGAAAACAGAAATAGGAACAATGGTATATCCAGCTTTAAAATATAATTGGTTTCTTCAAATTTTTCGAATCAGATTCCGTTCTCTTCAACTTTAAAGTACCTGTGTTATATACAAGTATGCGAGAATAAATGTATGAAATACAGAAATGGGTAAACACCCTAGTACTCAACTGTTACTGATCTACTGTAGTACTGTTCTGCACTGACTGGGCTAATGAAGACGGGCATACACCATACAATGTGCAATGAGGGAAATTTTGCCCTATGACTACATGTATATGGTCGGGCCCAACTAATCACCGGAATTCATTTACAATCTCCGGAATTCACATATAATCACAGGAATTCACCGGAATTCACTTCGAAAACCCCTGATTCCTCCCACAAAACTAATTTATTTTAAATGTATAATACATTATAATGTAACGAATTACTATTTTGATATCTCCACAGGCCAAATAAAGGCACTGTGTGTGTATTTATTTGAAAGACTACCGGAATTCATTTCAAATATATGCATCATGGTTATGATAACGTAGGGTGCGTCGTATTTACTATTACCCAATACTGCAATAGGTTGAACTCCAAAATAACACTAAAAAACAATTTGCGTCGAGTTACCCAATAACTCCAAAATAACAACCAATAACTTCAAAAATATTGACTGTGGAAACACAAAATAACAATTTAGTATGAGTTTAAGAAGCGTGACTGGTTTTTGTCCAAATCGGAGGTTCACTCGAGATAACACGTGTATGTGATTTTTGTTGACAAGAAACTTATGCATGAAACATATTATGGTATATATAGTGCAATAAACAATTTAATATTATAGCTATATTTATTTATTGATACTTGCAAATTGTGTCGATTGTCACTTTCTGTCATCGACATCGTAACTTGTTTTGAAATAAATAAAATGAAATCAATTTAAATAAGTTCCGCTGACAATTAATTGTTTTTGTTCAGAGTACCGGTATTCTCATGTTATGATAGTTTATTATGTTGTGATTGTACGTGATTTGTCACTTTATACAATGACAATATTTACATTTAATAGGATTTGTAAATCCGATATTTTGACCATTATAGTATAGGGAGATTACTCGACATGTGTGAAGAAAATATCGTAACTCGTCAAATTTGAGATGTTTTAAAACAATTATGTGTAGAACCTATTTGTAATTCATCAAAAAGCCTCTTTTATCAGCATTTCAGTCCTAATTTTAACTTACAATATTATTTGACCAAATTCATACACCGGAATTCACTTTGGAGATATCAGAATTCGCCCGTACAATCTTCCTATTTACTTATATTTTTCCATTAATATTAATATTGAATTACTTTAAAACACATAAAATCACCGGAATTCACATTGAAAACACATAAACACCGGAATTCACATTGAAAACATATAAACACCGGAATTCACTTTCAACATATCTGAATTTGGACTGAAGACCTTCGTATTTACTAATATTTTACATTAATAATAAATTACTTTAAATCACCAGGATTCACTTTGAAAAATATAAACATCGGAATTCACTTCCAATATATCGGAAATCGCACTTAAGACCTTCGTATTTACTAATATTTTACATTAATAATAAATTACTTTTACACACCGAAAATCACTGGAATTCACATTGAAAACATATAAACACCGGAATTCACTTTCAAATATCGGAATTCGCACTTCAGACCTTCGTACTCGATCACAAATATTTTACAATAATAATAAATTACTTTAAAACACCGGAATTCACTTACAAAATATATGAATTCGCAATTTAGACCTTCGTATTTATTAATATTTTACATTATTAAAAAATTACTTTAAAACACCGGAATTCACTTTGAGAAAATCGGAATTCGGCCCAAGACAATTGTATTTACCTATATTTTGCATTAATATTAATACTAGAATGTATCTGCTGTAAAACGATATTTCCAGATGGTCAACTCGTGGAAACACAATAAAAACACAGCAGTAATTCATGTAAAATGTCAAACCGAACATTTCTCGAATGTAGATGAGCTAAGTTTATTCGAAAATTAACTTAGTAATAATCAGCCAATCAAATAATTATAAAGTCTCATCAATAATGGTTTGGATGTTTTCATAAATAATCTGTTGTAGCATGAAGCAGTCCAGATTAAATGAAGTGTAATTTTAATAATATGCCAATAGTAGGCATATAGAATGTTCACCAGTTAATTGTCATTGTAAAAGGTGACAAATCACATACAATCACACCTCCAAAAAACATAAACTATGATAACATGAAAATGAGAATTTATTTATTTCTAAACAAGTTACGATGTCGATGACCGAAAGTGACAATTGGCGCAATTTGCAATTATGAATAAATAAATATAGCTATAATATTAAATTGATTATTTTAATAAACTATTATCAAAATTTTATTACAATACATTACAACGAATTGCAATGAAAGTATACATTAGTTTCTTGTCAACAAAATCACATACACGGGTTATCTCACGTGAACCTCCGATTTGGGCACAAATCAGCGAGGCTTCTTAAATTCAACTAAATTGTTATCTTGTGTTTCCACAGTCAACATTTTTGGGGTTATTGGCTGTTATTTTGGAATTATTGGGTAATTCGACGCAAATTGTTATTATGTGTTATTTTGGAGTTCGGCCTATTGGGTAATACGACGCGCCCTACGTTATCATAATCATGATGCATATATTTGAAATGAATTCCGGTAGTCTTTCAAATAAATTCACCTACAGCGCCTTTATCTGGCCTGTGGAGAGATCAAAATGTATTATACATTTAAAATAAGTGAGTTTTGTGGGAGGAATCGGGGATTTTAGAAGTGAATTCCGGTGATTGTAAATGAATTCCGGTGAATTCCGGTGATTAGTCTACCCGCTATAAGGTCTACTCTCATTTCGAATTCCTTGGTTTTGCGTCACATCAGGATGACTAGACACTGTCTTTTTCAGGCCCTCCGTCCTGTACCAACTAGCAAGGGGAAACCATGCAGGCCAATGTCTCTTATTACTATTAGAAAAATAATGTAATAATAATTGTGCCATCTTTTTTGTACATGGGTCATTTCATGTCAAGTGGACTAAATTCTCAGAAAGTTGTCCAGTGACCACCCCCTCTGAAAATTATGAAAAAAATATGTTATAGTACATACAGTTGCTCTTTTCCCTGTTATCACCCTTGAATGAATTAGGTGGGGAGTAAACATAATTAGGGGGTTACTGAAAAACTATTGAAATACAGGTTACAGAGACTATACATAGTCACGAGCTTGTTCTTACAGGGTGTGATTTTATGATAAAGTAATTTGAATGATTACCTTTCAAATGGGTAAAATATGTAAATATAATTAACATGTTAAAAATCATAATTTACTGTTCAAATTAAATGAAAATAAAAAATGAAGGAGTAAAATATCAAAGATGGGCCTTTCATCATTGATAGACATGTGTACATGCAACATTTTCCCAAAGTTTCATATTTTTTTCATGGACAGCTCCTATAGCCTACATGGTAGTTTTTGAAACTATTTGTAACTATTTTCCTGTGTGAGTTGATTTTTCGAAGCTAATTTTACAAGAAACTAACAAAGATATGGCTTTTAATAATGTTTGTTTAAACAATGCACATTGATACATTAAACAAGGAACAACTTCTAATATGTGTAGTAGAATTTCTACACTGTATCAAAATAGTGATTTTTTTTGCACAATTATTTTTAATATCAATTTTTGCCACTTAAGGCACTCCATAGTCCATACACAGTAGACAGTACTTGTTCTGTAAAATTAGATGATGAATTCTTATTCTATATAGTTTCAAAACTTGTAAAAGGGTACCCCTATTCAAAAGGCCATATCTCAGTCAATATTAATCCTAGAGTCTTATAACTTTGCAGTTTTGCATAAGTTTGTATGTACTATAACATATATTTTTTTCCATATTTCAGGCATCAGTAAATAAGATGTCTTCTAAAGGTCCAAAGAGAAAGAGGTATGACTCGGCAGGCCCTGGCCTTCAACTTGATCCAGCAGCCAAGGAACAAGTTCACAGACTCTTCGAAAAAAAATTCACGTTCCATAAACCAGAAGATGAGAAATGGATGATCAGAAATTTAGAGAATCAGGCAGAAGATCAGAACAGTTCAAAGATTTCTGAGAATCTTTCTGCTCTGAAAGTAAAACTGAACAAATTAAAGGACAGACTTAGTGATAAAGATATTATAAAATGGCACACGCACACAAAATTCCAGCACACGTCTGGCGGTGTCATGGTGGAATTAAAAACTTCGTACCAAATAGAACTTTGTACTCAGGCCTGGTGTAAATTTTACGAGATATTGTCACAGTTTCCAATTGTACCTGAAGAGATTTTGAAAGGTTTTACTTCAGTTCATCTGTGTGAAGCTCCCGGTGCCTTTATCTCAGCATTGAATCATTTTCTCTATTGTAAAGGTAAGTTCTATTATCTGCCGTTTCTCTACGGTAGGGTGCCCCGTGGCCGAAACTTTTTCCTTCTAAAAGTTGTACTCGACACGTTGAATGTGCACGCTTCAGTGACGTAACTCTAATTGATATCAGACGAGTCTCAGGCTCTCTTTGTGTCTATAAATAGCCACAGCACGTGAAATTCTCAACACTTGTAATAACTATTACAGACGTAAAAAATCTATTGTTGACGATTCTGAATAGCAGTAATATTTAGCTTTTTGGTTATTACTGCAGCTTTAGAAATTACGCTCGTTTTATTTTTTAAATTGCTTTATCATTAACTAGACCGTTAGGAGTGGCATCTTTTGGTTTAGTACAAATAATATCTCTGAATAACGCGGGTTGGGCAGGAAAATGATACTAGCAGTAGTTTCATTTTACCTTTACAAGGTTCTTAAAACAATTGTTGCGTCGCCCACCGGGTATTATTTGTAAATTCAATTTCTTGTTCTAGCTTTCTGTCATGTTTCGTAAAAAAGTAGTCTTGATTATCCCGGCCTGTCAAATAGAGAATGGTCGGTAGACTGGTTAAGTGAGACTAATTTCAAAACAAGGGCACGTAACCTATTTTTTGCTCAAAAGTGTCTGGATGTCATGGACGACACTCCGAACCATTTTTCAGTGTATTATTTATAGATGGTTAAATGGCCATATCTTATTAAGTACAACATGACCGTTTATTTAGTGACTATAATTGTGCGAAACTGGTTTAAAGCTTAGTATATATATATAAGTAAATTTGTGGTGTAATTGTCGAGATATATGTAGATATTTATTTATGGTGGGGCACCCTATCTACGGTAAACATAAGTATATCATCGCTATTTTCTGCATGTTCTCTACGGTAAACATAGGTATATCATCTCTATTTTCCCCATGCTGTAGTACGGTTCAGATCAAGCATTTTGATCTGAATATACTGAACAAGGTGTTTTTGTGTATGGATATCAGCATGATTCCTACATGTAGCTTACTGAAATCGGCACAAATTAAGTAAAAGGACAGTTTACTTTATTTAAGTTATATAAGTGGTTGAGGGGGCCTGACCTGAGGTTTTGATTCCCGGGTTGTACGTTACAAGGAGTATGGTCGCCTATCTAACCTTGTGCGAATTAATGCAATAAAATGGAACCATATGTTAGTCCTGAAAAGACTAAGTTTGTGTCAAGTGGCTGTTAAACCCCATTTCCCCTAAGGCTGGCATGTAAACTGTTTTTTGATTGGTTCGTAGAATCGAAGTTACGATCAAGGGTAAATAATTTAAATATGTGAAACCCTGTGGATGAACCAGGAGGTTAGTGAAGTAGAATGGAACGATACCACTGGTGATAGCAAGAATGCATAAGTACATGTACATGAAATTATTCAAGATAACAAAAGGTGCAAAATAAAGAAGAAAATTGAAATGGTGCAGACTGACAAAAATGATCATAAGTAAGAAATAAAATCTGCAGATAATCCCTCATTTTAATTTGCATTACTAACACTTACTTAATTAAGTACCCATATTTTGGGTGATTTTTCAGGTGTTAAGGCAAAATGGAAATGGTTAGCGACAACATTAAGTCCATACTACGAAGGTAATTCACATGGTCAAATGATTGACGACGATCGCTTTATCCGTGAAACTTTAGATAAATGGTATTTTGGTGAAGATGGAAGTGGGAACTTAATGGATTCTGTTATAATTGATGGACTCGTAACCAAGGCAACCGAACATGGGGATGTTAATCTGGTTAGTTTTTGAATATCATTTATAGAATGTGGAAATTATATCCATAGATTTACCCAAAATAACTTTAATTACCCAAAACATCATAGTGGATTCCAGTCCATGACAATATAAGTTGACTCAATCCTATAGTTCAGAATTTCGTTTTACTTGTTATGTAACCGGCGTTCTGTTTGATGTGACGAATTAACAAATGAAACGGTCTGTCATGGTCGGTGAGTTTTTGACTTACTGTGCAAGGAACTGTGGATATTCCACTAGAAACATCAATGCTGATTGGTTAATTAAATGTCTGACATCATAGGTTCAAAAGCTGCTCATATGACCCCTGACGCAAATTTCCTCTACAAGCGGTCAGATCTTCATGTCGTAGAGGCCATCAAAAGTATAAAAGAATGAAACAAAATACAGATCTGTACTTTAATCAGATTGGAGTTGTCTTTCTTCCTTTGTTTTTTTTTGTTCAGAACTATTTTAAAAAAGAGTAAAAATTAGGGAATATTAATGACCTACAATGTACATGTATACATATAGAAAAAAAATAAAATCATTAAATGTGTTTTATTAAAAATATAGGTTGTTTTGGGTAATTGATGTTGTTTTGGGTAAATCTATGGATTGTTTTATCAATAGTGTGTTTGTGAGTCTGATTAGAAACCTGCTGTCGTGGTACTGGCAGTTGGGTGTTGCTGAGAGGTCTTTGAAAACTAGATAGGCTAGACAGTTCAATATCAGAGTCGCAATGGGAACAGCAACCATCTTGCTATCGGTTGATATACCTTGTAAACCTTGTGCATGTGGGGGGGGGGGGTGGATGGCCGAATGGTAAGCACGTGCGCTCTGTATAATGCGGTCTGTCATTGAGTCAACTGGCGGGGATTTCGATTCCCCGGTTGTACGTGACAAGCGAATTATTGACATAAAATTGAACCTATTTTGTTGTGAGTGGATGTTAAATCCCATCTCTCTCTCTCTTGTGCATGTATTTTCGAAATATTTTTACTATTTCATCCAGTCATATTTTATTATAACAGGTTACGGCTGATGGTAGCATTAATTGTCAAGACTCTCCATCAGAACAAGAATTATTAGTATCAGAGCTTCACTATTACGAGACTCTGGCAGCCTTAAAACTGCTGTGTAAAGGAGGTTGTTTTGTGATAAAAGTATTTACGATGTTTGAAGAAGCCAGTATCACGTTGATGTATATATTAAATTGTTGTTTTAATCAGGTTGGTCAATGATTTAATGTATCGTCTAAAGGGTTTGGGTGGTCAAGTCATCTAAGATCATAAGGTCAGTCAGAAGGATTTGGGTGGTCAAGTCATCTAAGATCATAAGGTCAGTCAGAAGGGTTTGGGTGGTCAAGTCATCTAAGATCATAAGGTCAGTCAGAAGGGTTTGGGTGGTCAAGTCATCTAAGATCATAAGGTCAGTCGGAAGGGTTTGGGTGGTCAAGTCATCTAAGATCATAAGGTTAGTCAGAAGGGTTTGGGTGGTCAAATCATCTAAGATCATCTAGGGTCAGTCAGAAGGGTTGGGTGGTCCAGTGCTCTAAGATCATGAGGTCAGCCAGAAAATATGGGTGGTTGAGTGCTCTGAGATAATGTCTTTTAGAAGGGTTGGGTGGTCTTCTAAGATCATAAGGTCTTTCAGAAGAGTTGGGTGATCAAGTGATCTGAGATCCTAAGTTTAGTCAGAAGGGTTGGGTGGTCGAGTGCTCAAAGATCATAAGTTCAGTTCAGTAAAAGCTTCTGTTATTTTAAATGCCATAAAATTACAGTGGACTCTGTCACATCCGACCTCTGAATACTCCGGCACTCTGAAATCCGACATCATTTTCATGTCCCGATTTATTTCCCAATATTTCAGACAAAAAATTTTTGAGTAATATTTGAATATTACGAATTACGACATCAATTAACCATCCTGTCACACAATTTCCATTGAATCAACACTGTATAATCCGGCCTTCAATCGATGGGTGTGAAGCCACAAAAGATTAAACATACACTTTGCAAGAGCTAAATCTGCCTATTACAGGTCTTTCTTTAGGCCTGAAATGTTATATAAACTATTAATTAGACATTTATTAACAGAACAAGACCATAATCGACTCTCGATGGCATCCGATACTCAAGATTTTAACTAGATTAAAATGGTTCGCCATTTAAAAATTTAATCTAAAAATGGGAAAGTGAGGCTAAGTCCCGATTATACCAGTGCCCTGGTAACCACTGTGCACTCATTTACATACAATTTTAACTTGGCTTAGAAAGAAGTAATTTGAATCAAATTTTCAATATTTTCTTTTTTCATCTATTTTTGAATTATTATAGCAAGAATGACCAACTCTTTATTAAACTCTTAACTAATGTATCCTTAATAAGCAATCACCAATCAATTATCAGTGAGATTAAAACTCGCTCGCGTAGGTCTTTGTTGATTACTTTGATAATTTTATAATCTCTTGTAAGACAGTTGTAACAAATACTCAAGAATACCCACAAATTTTCCCACAAATTAATTACAGTCGTAAAAATATTCCTAGCACCTGTTGGAAACATTTGTTGCGCATGCCGATTGAACCTGAATACCTAAGTTTGTTCACCCTACGGATCTATCTGAACCGTGTGACGATGACCTGAACATAAAACGACAGATTATCAATGAACACGTGACACCAAAGACAAGTGTGCGATCAACTGAAGACGATAAAGAAGTTAAATTAAAGACAGACTTGACATGTTAAATGAAATAAAAATTAATGTAATAAAATTTTGAATGTACAGAAAGGTTTATCATTTTTAAAGGGAATAACGTTCTGGGGATTCAAAGCTACATTATAATAATACTTCCGGTTTTCGAAGTTACAATAATACTTCCGGTTTTGAGAAAACTGAGTATTCCGACACTCTGCGTAATCCGACATATTGTAACGATCCCGTACGATGTCGGATTTGACGGAGTCCACTGGGTATGAAATTATTCCAGACAGCCCTTTATATTTGGCTTATTTCTCTAACGATTGCTCCCTTTTCTCTCATACAGTATCACTGACAACCACGCAGCACTGCAGAGTTCCAGGGATTCTTCCACCCACCCACTCAGTTGTGGAAATATTTTAACGCGTCATAAATATTATGTTTATTTTATAGGTTGATGTGATTAAACCCTGTACGAGTAAGCCTGGTAACTCAGAGGTTTATGTTGTCTGCCAAGATTTCATAGGTCAAGGTCAAGATGAAACAGTCTGTGCATTACAGTATATCGACAATTATAACAATGGTAACTCATTTTAACAGACCTTATGTCAGTGGGAATAATTTATAATCGGCCGTTGACCCTATTACTGTCTGAGCCATGCTAAATAAGAGATAGAAAGAGCGAGATGGGGTTTAACCTAGGGGTCTTTAGCAGTGGGAGGTAACAGAAGGACCTGGGGAATACCCATGATGTTCCCACTGTCGTGCGATGCGTTACAATAGGATTGTCCCGATTGAGTTTACGATCTGATACTTTGGATACTTTTCACTACGATCAACACGATTGCTACAACTGACCTCAATATATGATAAGATCTAATAGGATAACCACAATTACTCCACGATTTCAATCACAGCACGAATCTTGATAGTGGAAAAATAGCATAAGCAGCCCTACTCCTTGCTTGATAATGACTAGAGAAGTCTGGTCAAAACATTGCTAAGTAATAAGCAGTACCCGTATATCAGTAAAACATGCTGGTATTGTTGGGTTGGCCTGAAAAGAAAGGAAGCCTTTTTATTTTATAATTGATTCATTCATACGACAATCCCCCTATCACAGAAAACTTGTTTACGATCTTCAGTTCTTCAGAGTTATTTTTAAAACTTACTGGAATTGTTAAAATAGTGTTCAGGAGGAACACAAAGTCGAACTATCAATTTTTGCACAGTTATTGACCCTATCTCTGAAAATTGCATAGCCACCCTTCAAATTACTTTTGATGGGTGTATGTTTTCTCGTAATGTTATTTTTAAGTAGAACTGTAACTGTTTCGATTACGATGTGTTATTTGTGTATAACCTTTTTGCAGGACAAATAAAAAAACAAATGATGCCATCCTACCCAAAGTCTTTCTTAAACCAACATGCTGAATGTTGTCAGCAGTTTGTTACATATCAGATAGAGGCCATTCAGTCCAACCTAGATACTTACGAGAAAATGGATTCCGAGCAAGAGAACTGTCAAATATCGAAGAGAGAATATTGCCAAGAAAGATTTGTATCCAAATTTAAAATCCGACAAATTCCTCAGTACTCCAAGATTGTCAACAATTATTTTAAGGTAATACTGTTAGCCCATTTTTTATATGCTTGCATTGATGGGTGGCTAATTGACTCCCCATCCATCGAGGAAGGCAGGGTATGGCGGGGAGAAAGCCTCTTGTCATTCAGATCATAGCAGGAAAATTTTACAAATACTTCCCAATACCACCCAATATTAAATATTACCAAATACCACCGCATAACACCTCAGTGTAGTGAAAGCTAATTTAGGTAGTATGTTGGGGTTAGTGTTGGGTAAATTGTCCTGTCCTTAGGATTGGACAAAAATCTGAGGTCCATCTTAGATTATGGGATTTGATGAAGAGTGGATGAAAAGTTTTCCAGGCAAAATTGTCCTCAGTATGCCTATCATCATTAGATGGATTGATGCAGACAAATCGTACATTAAACCCCTATTTCATTTATTGTTTTTCCCCCTCGTGACTTTTTCTGTATCAATCATGTTGTCAACATTAACCCAAAGAGATTTTATTTTGTTTTCAGAAATATTCAAGTTTTAAACTTGAGAAAAGTTTTGAACTAGTTTTACGGAGTCCAGTTAAATCTACAAGTCCTCTCAGTTATAAATGTTCTAAGAATAGTAAACTTACTGGTTCTTTCCATGAAAGACAACAACAGAGTAGTCTCCCCTGGAACGCTAAACTGCAACAGATGGAGATGTTTGAATATTCTTTTGAGAGTTTGAAATTGCAGGTAAAATTATGAACACTAAATTTTGGGAGCATGACAATTGCTGGTTGGCTGACGACCAGCAGGACAATTGCCGGTGGATATCTGCCTGCAGGACACCTGCCAGAAGACAATTGCCAGCCATATTGTTTGTTTTTTGTATTTGTAATGTTCTTTTGTATACATTGTCACTTGCCAAATCTTCTGTCCTAAATCACTGACAAGGGGGAACCACGCAAGAAAATCCTGATGAACTTTCTGGGCCGAAGCAGGGATCGAACACGGGACCTCCATATTAGCGAGCCAATGTCCTACTCACTGAGTCACTGTGGCTCCCCTAATTAGTGATACAGGTATATTTAGATTTAGTTTATTTCACACAAAATCTATAATAAGTTTGGACAGTCATTCACTCATTTCTCGTCATATCAATATAAATTTGACGCGTTCGACGAAAAATTACAGTTTTCTCATTCGTTAATTTCTAGTCACAGCCTTTTCCCCTGATAATAAATTTGAGATACATAAATTTAGAGATTGCTTGTGTAACATCGCCTCGATAACCCTGAAAATATTTCCTTCCTATTTTATACTTTAGTGTCAGCAGTCTTTAACTAGTGAGGAAGTACAGAACTGGACAACTGAGACAGGAAAAATTATTTACTCAGTGGAGAGTTCCAAGTTTTGTGACAGTAAGATACTAGGTTGCTGGAACGAACTCAATCATCATAAAACGGTAAGTTCTAGTGTAGCACTTTAGTCCTTAAGACAATATTGGTTCTTTGAAAAATTGTTGCTTCACTCTGTCTATAGAGTCAAATCACACATACTTAATGAACAGGAATATATATTTTATGCTTCAAATTCTATCTGTTTATTGACCTTTGGTTGGTATATCAAATAGGTAATGTTTCCTCCTCTGGTCTTCTGAAATAAAGAGGTTTATTCTATATTTGGGATGGAAATTAACGTGAAGGCTATCTAAGACGAGCAGAAATTTATATATACTATTCAAAAAAAGTAGGGGATATTTGATTTTTAAGTGTTATTAAAGTCACCTAATGAAACTGACGAAGAAACAAATGACAAAATGAAATGAAGTTCACATTCATCGATTTATTCCAAATGATCGTTAGACTAAGTAAGGCACAGACTGACCATTATAAGGGTAAAATGAAACCCGGGGTCAAACAGCAAGGTTACCACAGCATCACAACCAAGTCAGTAACGGGTAAATCCTCCTCTGTTTGCCAAACAAGCATTGATCCGACGTGGCATACTCCTAATGAGACGTCTAAGGTCCTTTTGGTCCAGATTGTCCCATTCCTGTTGCAACGCAGCAGCAAGTTCTTGGACATTGGCAGGACGTTGTTGACGTTGACGTAACCTCTGTCCGAGCATGTCCCAGACATGCTCGATGGGGGAGAGGTCGGGACTCCGTGCTGGCCAAGGTAATGTGGTGATGTTCTGTTGTTGGAGGTAACCTGTAACGATCCTGGCCCTGTGACATCTTGTGTTGTCATCCTGGAAGATGAAACGGCGGCCATGACGTCGTGCGAACGGCACAACATGGACTGCCAAGATGTTGTCCCGGTAGTACTGGCCTGTAACACGCCCTGCAACAACATGTAAAGCTGTTCTTCCAGCAACAGTGATGCCTCCCCACACCATAACAGAACCACCCCCAAATCGATCATGTCTGATGACGTTAACGTCTTGGAAGCGCTCGTTTCGACGATGCCACACCCTCCTACGTCTGTCCAAAAAATCAACAGTGAACCTTGACTCATCTGAAAACATCACATTGCTCCAGCATCGATTATCCCAGTGTTGACGATCCCTACACCAACGACGTCTTGCCTGAATGTGATGATCTCTCAAACAAGGGATCACGCGAGGACGTCGGGCGCGAAGGTGACCCCTATGCAGTCGATTCCGAATCGTCTGGCCACTCACTCTCACACCAGTGTCTGTTTGAAGACGAGCGCTGATCTGATTTGCTGTGATGACACGATTTCTCAAGGCCAAGGTACGGATAAATCGATCCTGGGCTTGAGTTGTCGCCCTTGGTCGACCTGAGCGTGGTCTGTCCTGTACAGATTGTGTATCACGGTATCTGGACCATAGCCTGCTTATGACAGACTGAGAAACATTCATCGTCCGCGCCACAACCGCCTGTGTTGTGCCGATCTGCAGCATGCCAAGGGCACGTAACCTTTCATTTTGGGTAAGCCGACGCATATCAAAATTTGTTTTCTGGTCACTAAAACAATTAAACTGATGTTTCCACCCTGGAATTCAATGCCACAATGACTGTAACATTCAAAGTCAGAGTCGTGCAAATCTTGGGTTGGACCCCCATGATGATCCCAAGCATCACCTGCATTCCATGCGGTAGCTATTGGTGCGTTTGGGCGTCACATGTAACTGGAAATGTTTCTTCTGTTAGGTTCTATAGTGACTTTTTTCGTAGTCATTTGCATATTTTAGGATTATGCCCCCAAAATCAAATATCCCCTACTTTTTTTGAATAGTATATATATAGGGGGTTATGAAAGAGGGTGTTGAGCGAGACTGGGCACACAGATATTCCAAGCAGCTATTATTATTAAGAACGAGGAACCTTCAAAGCCATTACAGCTTAACAATAAAGTTGTAAGAACCATTTATTCTGTAGTGTTACTACGATCACGAAGAAAACAAACACAACAAGGAAAGAAGTCCGATAGTACTACACTAGATATTGTAATAATTATAACAATCATCATAAAAGAGTGAATTCTAGATATTATAATGCTTATAATGCTACGATCACGAAGAAAACAAACACAACAAGGAAAGATGTCCGATAGTACTACACTAGATATTGTAATAATTATAACAATCATCATAAAAGAGTGAATTCTAGATATTATAATGCTTATAACAGTCAGCATAAAACAATAAGTTCTATATATCATAATAATTATAACAATCATCATAAAACAATAAGTTCTAGATATCATAATAATTATAACAATCATCATAAAACAATAAGTTTTATATATCATAATAATTATAACAATCATCATAAAACAATAAGTTCTATATATCATAATAATTATAACAATCATCATAAAACAATAAGTTCTAGATATTATTGAGAGGGGTTGGGTGTCGGGCGCTTTAGAACTCAATGTCTGTAAATGTCATGGTTTGGATTCCTTGCTTCTACTTGACAAGGCGTATAGTCACCTGTCCAACCTTGATGGTTTTCTCTGAGACCTTCGGTTTCCTCACACTGCTAAAGACCCCTATGTGCC